TCTTACCCCACTCTCCCCTTATTATGTCATACTTCACAATTTTTGTGACAAAGCTTCACACATCAGCATAATAGCATACCATGTGACGCTACCTCAATCCCATAATTTAAAAACAAAAGTGCGTAAAATTACTGTAAGAGTGATGGAGACCTTGCTTTGTCATATTCATCTCCTATCCTTTCTAGACATCTTTTTCAATGAGCAGAACCCATCTGTCAATCAAAGATGTCGCTGGGTGGAGTCCAACCATGCATTTGATTTACTTTTCTACACAGCTAAAAATACAGGTCTAAAAATAGCAGGCTTGGTGTTGAACGCTTTCTGCTCAAGGTGTGCAAAGCAGCTGAGGTGCAACGCACTGACAGGATGCGGGCATATTCAGGAACTTGATATGACATGGCATTTGGCGGGTTTTAGCTGTGAAGGAAGAGAATCCACGCCGTACAATTAACCCCCTCTTCTCCCTAGCGAGTGTTTACTGTTTGATTCTTAGACCCTTTCTAAAAAGAAAAAAGAAAAATCAATACGGTGAGAGACACACTCACACATACACACACACACACAGACTCCACTGACTCAGCAAATGAGGATCAGTCGGTCAGAGAATTATTTCCCTCCACAGTATGAAAACAAGACTATATAAAGCAACCATTCTATCATGTGTGGAAAAGAAAACACCAGGAATGTGGAGTTAAACAAGCAGAAAAGCTATATGTTAACCTCAGCAAAGCATCCTGATACTTTTTATTAAAAATGCCAGATTCAAAAGGATTATGGGATATACTGTTTCCACACATCTCCAACATCTTTTTATGCACCTCCAATTTTATATAAAAAAAAAAAAAACAATCAGAAAGGCTAGTGATCATGTCATCCAACTTACATGACCTTGATTTGGAAAACAGAATAAACTGTCCTGTTTATCTATTTACAACTCCCTGACAAATTCACACTTATCCACCTTGTATGAAATAACGCCTTTAGGAACAAGATGACCATATATTCACATTTTTCTTGTGACAGTACCGTACTTGACAACTGTGTCTGCAGTTATTTTGTGTCTTAGCGATATTTGAGGCAGAACTGTGGGAGATCTGAAATATGAGATTGCAAATAAGTTGGCACATGTAAGGAAAAATGTCTCATATGTAGGATTCTCCCAGGAAGATAATGGAACATCTAACAACCACTAAAAGCACCAAGTGAGACTGTGAATGAGTGTGATATTGCTTTTACACAGCAGTTCAATAAACAACAAGTTAAAATTGAGTAACTTACATTTTAGACACAATATTGCTTGGTCCATTTTTGAAAAAGTTAATAGTTCAAAAGAAAGCCACGGCAGCATCAACCACATCTCAGAGGAACACACAGCAGTTATGTTTCATCCCTGAATGAATCAGCGTTTTGAACTAATTGGTTGGGTGAATGATTCAATAACTCACTTATATGGTGTGTTCAAAATCGCATATTGCAACATTTGTACTACATTTGAATTCGAACTTTGTGACCCTTAAAAAATCTGTTCTATATAGTATGAATATGGTAGTATGAATGAAATTCGGATGTACTACAGCCGCCATATGGTCATGTGACCTGCAGCGTCAGTTGCTTGGCTTCATTGCCATTTACAAATCCTCTCTCCTGACCTCAAAAGTAAAGTATCCATCAAATGCGCATTTCAGAATCTCACCAGTAGTAGTAAGTCATCTTTACCTAGTTTTTCACCTACTGTTTTTCGAATACTACAGGTGCATCTCAATAAATTAGAATGTCGTGGAAAAGTTCATTTATTTCAGTAATTCAACTCAAATTGTGAAACTCGTGTATTAAATAAATTCAATGCACACAGACTGAAGTAGTTTAAGTCTTTGGTTCTTTTAATTGTGATGATTTTGGCTCACATTTAACAAAAACCCACCAATTCACTATCTCAGCAAATTAGAATATGGTGACATGCCAATCAGCTAATCAACTCAAAACACCTGCAAAGGTTTCCTGAGCCTTCAAAATGGTCTCTCAGTTTGGTTCACTAGGCTACACAATCATGGGGAAGACTGCTGATCTGACAGTTACAAGAGACCAAAAAATGCAGATGAGCTGAAGGCCACTGTCAAAGAAACCTGGGCTTCCATACCACCTCAGCAGTGCCACAAACTGATCACCTCCATGCCACGCCGAATTGAGGCAGTAATTAAAGCAAAAGGAGCCCCTACCAAGTATTGAGTACATGTACAGTAAATGAACATACTTTCCAGAAGGCCAACAATTCACTAAAAATGTTTTTTTTATTGGTCTTATGAAGTATTCTAATTTGTTGAGATAGTGAATTGGTGGGTTTTTGTTAAATGTGAGCCAAAATCATCACAATTAAAAGAACCAAAGACTTAAACTACTTCAGTCTGTGTGCATTGAATTTATTTAATACACGAGTTTCACAATTTGAGTTGAATTACTGAAATTAACTTTTCCATGACATTCTAATTTATTGAGATGCACCTGTATGTATACTCTTTTGGCGTACTGTTTTTTGCATACCATATAGTATGCAAAATATAGTATAATATCGATTTTAGATGTAACTTTAAAGTTGCTTGTTTCATTGCTGACTGAATCAGAGCTTTGAAGAAATCTGTTCAGTGAATGATTTTTGACTCATTCATAAAGACGGTCACTGTCGCCACCAACTGGTGTGACAATGAAACCTGCAGAAAGAGTCATTAAAAATCCCCACCACATTTTGCCATGGCGACAAATTATGGGTACATTATATTCACATTTTCTGAAATAACACCATTTAGGCAGACACGGTTAAACTAATGGAATATGATACAACAACCAAAATCATTTTGATAATAAAAAGAAAAGCTACTTAATTTTAATGAATTCAAGCTACACATTTCCTGTATCCGCTAATGCATTCTCTGGAAATCAAACCTGTTTCCTTACACAGATGAACAATGAACAGCTGATAACGTAAAAATCGCATAAAATGAGACCTGACTTCATCATCATCTTATTAAGATCCTTGGTTGCCCGTATAATTATGTACTATGTTGAACCTGTCCCTTCTGGAGTCAATGACCTCACTGATTCAAGCTTAATGAGTCAACAAAAGTGACAGGATTTTTTAAGCTTGCCATTGCCCACCAGTAAATTATGTTCGTTAGCTCTATATAAATATCATGCAAATGCTGACCCGTTTTAACCTGTACCTGTCATGTGTAAATGAGGGGGAAAAATCTGAGCAAATAAAGCCATGTGTCTCCAAATTAAATCTGAACCACCACTCATTGTAACCCAAGATACATCCCATGGTTAACAACAGAGCCTACCCCTCACCTTGTGATCAATGAAATAAATAATTCATATCACGGAACAGCAAATATGATGACAGCTTCTTAAACGCCAGGCTTTCTAGGTGCTTAATTAGTCTTTGGAGAGCTTGACATCTAAACTAATTAGTAACCTGCACAGCAAAACCTATGACGGATCAGAATACTGACATACAGTTACCCACCAACAAGCCACTACAATCCATTCAGTGGATTGATTGATATTTATATTGCGAGCTTCTCATCTTCATTCAACATCGTTCATGCCTGATGACCTGGCCACAAGTTGATTTTCCTTGAACAACAGGGGCCTGAAAGCCAGGCATGAAACACGTCTGTTAAAATAGTGCATATCTGTGAAAAGCACTTCACACGTTCTCCCTGTTTCATCACTAAACACATGGTGCTTTTCAAGCGTGCTGCCACTGCACAGAAGACAACCGAGAGATGGCAGACGAGAAGAATTAATAATGATCCAGCCAAATCTTCTGGCCCAGTAAGAGCAAACAAAACTGAAGCTCTTCGTTATCTCTCTGTCCGTGCATGCTTTCAAACAAACAACAAGGAGATAACTGAGATGTTTTGATAAACAGGATCTCAGTGCTTTAGACATCCTTCATCCCATTAACATGCTGCAAGCAGTGTGCATTTCATGTGAAACCATGAAATTTTCAGGGGCCATTCTGTAGATAACATTACACGCCTTTGATCCAGCTTTGTCCTCGTCATCTACAGCACATTCAACGGGCTTATTTACAGATGCGATCAGGCACTCTGTGGAAAGATCTGCCAGTCAGCTCTCCAGATCAATACAGCATTCCCTCCTAAATGGACAAGCTTCGTCACCTCCTTTCCAGCACTGTAAAATATTTACACCCAAAATGCCAATTAATGCCTTTGTAAACAACAATAGTCTTGACATATGAGCACACTGAGAGCATAACATCACTTCAAAAAGGTTTTAAACAGCAGTTGAACATGAAGACAAGACTTTTAATTAGTGTGAGGAACTTTAAACCTCCACCCCGGGTCTAGTGCTGCATCCAAACCAACTTATAGCTTCACATCTCTTATATATTCTGTATAAGTAGCACATAATGAAAAAGTAATAGTTGTAGATATCTTGAAATTCTATATTCAGTCCGACAACGCTGGAAGTGGACCAAACTGAGCTCAAATGGTTTTTTTTTTTAAATGTCTGTTCAGCAGTAACTCTGGATTAAAGTATTTCAAATAGCCATACCAACCTAATGCAGTTCTCAAGGTGAAAAGCAAAAACCTTTGCAATTGATGTGCAGGTGTACCTGCCATGTCATTGAAGAGCTTTGTTCAGGTGTTTAAGAGAGAGAGAACAAATCACATCCTTCTTTATTCCCAAATTCACTACACCTTCCACTCACCAACCTTCCATTTCAAATTTGGGTCAGTCTCTTTAAAAGAGCTGCGATGCCAAATTCTATTGTTAAACTGAACACAGATGCATTCGCTCTTTTTGTCTTTATTCATGACATTGAGGCAGGTTTGTTGGAATTGAATTCAGTGCTACTTTCCTCCATCTTAGCCAAAATAACAAGCATCTTTAAAAGACAGAACTGAGCTAACCTGAAACAGCGCGTTACCCCGCAAACAAACACTGAGTGCGATGGAATGACATTGTACACTCACCAAACGATGTTCAGGGAACAAACGCTCTCCTCTCCCCGCTTTAAATCCGAAATTCAGCTGGATAAGAATCCTACGTTCATGCCCTGCGGAGGTTATTTAAGGAAATGAACTGTTTTCTGGATGTTGACTCAGTGACGGACAAGCATCGGCTGCTGAAAGAGCGAATCGCTGCGGAGGCAGAGCGCGCGGTGATGCTGCCTTTTCGGTAGCACAAGTTACCATCCCAGCCTTCATCCACACGCACACATCCACACGCGCAGGTGTCGCGCTGAATTCATCCATAGAGCACCATCTTCTGGCAGTATACTGTATGAACATGTTTTACACACCTGTTCTTTATTAAGCATTTAATTATTTTAACTGATACCCTTCTTTTGTAACATTTAATTATTCACATAATGAAGCGTATTTGAATTGATTTATTGTTAATTCAGACCTACCTTGACTGTAGAAATGTTTTATGGTTTTTTGACATTGTTTATAAATCGTTAGATGTTTGCTATTTATTTTGATACCCCTGAGTATTGTTTTGATTTATATTTATTTTGCTTTATATTTATCCGTTAAGCTATGTTGATTGATTCTGTACATTGTGCGATCATTTAAGTAGCTATAGCCTATGTCAATATAGCCTATATTTAATCACACAGTGCAACACCTCAAGGGAAGAAAGATTATCACCAATAACGTTACATGGCAAGAGAAAGAAATCATAAAACCTTTTTTAAACATCTTTCAGACACATTTGCAATCCTGGTTATGAACAAAGCTGAGGTCACCGAAGTCCGGACCTCGGTACAATTTTCATGTTCAGAAATAAAATCTGTTTTCTGAACGACTAATTTGTCCGTGGTGTGAAAATAACGGAGAACTATGCATGTCGCTGCGAGACGCTGGGTGCTTCTCAAATGGAAGGCTGCATCCTACCGAGGCTGCGTCCTATGGGATTACATCTCTGCCAACATCCCTGCGCGCGAAGGCTCATATTTGGAGCGCGCAAAAGTGCGTTTTGCACGCGCGCGAACTGAGTTTTGTGGAGAAAATGTTTGTCTTGCAAAGAAGATATTTAGAGCGCACGAAAATCAATTTTGCATTTAAAATACGTTTTCCACTTGACAAAGTGGAACGCACTTCAAAATGGCGGCGGGGATTCCCCTGAGGGTAAGTGCTTAGGGAAGTTTGCGAGTTCTGTGTCTAAAAGTGAACTGGAACACAGCCCTAGTTCAGTCCTTCTAGGCTTGAGTCTTGTAGGCTAGAGTCCTCCTCGGCATTAAACTCTAGAATAGGCTTGTTTGAGATGAGCAAAATCTGCGCAGAACCGATCACCGGTGATCACCTCGAGATGCATGCTGGTTAGAAAAGTGTCCGAGTTACGTCCAACTTGCTCTGATGTCATGCTGACGTGTGCCAAAAAACTGGCAATGGCGAGGCGGCTGTGTCGGATTGCGCAGTCGGGCGCAGTTGCTCTCCACCGACTGCGCTGATCAAAAGCATGATGGTAAACGACTGACTGACAACACAGCTTAATGCTCATTGGTTCAGACAACCGTGATGTTGCATTCTCTTCTAAAATATTAAATTTTTTATCTGATTTCATGTGATCATGTATTTAAATTATACATGAATGTTCCCAAACACTATGACAGTGCGATCTCTGTGTGAGATATGTGATTGTCATATTTCTATAAAAATCTAAAATACATGTTTGTATTAAAGTAAAAATGGATGAAAAATCCTCCTTTCGTATGGAATTAAATAGCAAGCACTTCGAGTGTCTTGTTCATCATATTTAGTTTCATATAAAAGCAACATAACTGAAATTATACCATGTTTATTAGCAACACAGCACATGAGTTAAAAATATAACATAAAAACATCTCAAACAAGTCTGTTCACTCCGCCAGCAACAGCAGGTGTTTCTCAAATGGAAGGCTGCATCCTACGAAGGCTGCATATCTCGACTGCCAAGTCATCAAACGTCGCTGAAGGCCATCTCAATCGGAACGATCCTTGGAAGGCAGCCTTCGTTTCGCGTCCTTCATTCAGCTGAATTTGAAGGATGCATGGGATGTATCCTCCGCGACCTTCAATCACCCACAATCCTTTTGGGTACCATCCCATTTCATGAAAATAAACTGATGAAAAACGAGTCAGTACTGAGCTTGTCTGAATTTATTATGAAATGTAAGACAAAAATAATGTTTTCGGACATGAAAGGATGTTATCTTTTGTTTTGGTGTAAATTACTTGCTAAACGCTAAACTGCCAATAATTTCAGCCACGGGGAAACTAGACGACTTTGATTCATTGTATAGCATTAATAGAAAGCAAAATAATATAAAGAGTTGTAATACAAAGTATTTTTCCAAAACTAAATTTTATTAGTGTTTTTGTGCCGTGACGGTGAGGACGGGAACATATGTGACGTGCACTTACTAGAGCATCTCATTAGGCTTGGCTTGTTTGAGATGAGTAAAATCTGCTCAGAACCGATCACCACGAGATGCATGACGGTTAGAAATATGTCCGAGTTACGTCCGACTTGCTCTGATGTCATGCTGATGTGTGCCAAAAAACTCTCGCGACGGTGAGGCGGCTGTGTCGGATTGTGCAGTCGAGCGCGGTTGCTCTCCACCGACAGCCCTGATCAAAAGCATGATGTGAAACGACTGACTGACAACACAGCTTAAAGGTGGGGTAAGCGATTTTTAAAAAACGCTTTAGAAAACTGATTCGGGCCAACTAGCAAAACAAACTTGTAGCCAAGTAAGGGGCGTGTCTACTCATGATGTGGAGGAGAGAGCGTTCAGTGCACAGGACGGACATTAGCAAGCCGAGCAACAGAAAGATAGAGATGGCGGATAAAAAACAAAAGAGGAAAACGTCTGCAGAACAAAAGAAGGCTTAAGGCAATAAGGCAAGAAGTAGGACCCGTGTAAATATCGGATCAGCTTTCCAGCGCTGGAGAGAACTCAAGGAGCGGAAGGCCTGCGATCGGACGCCAAGGTTGCTGTGTTTCTTCTCGATAGGTGAGTGACACTGTGTCTGCGCCACAACAGCTAAAGTCTGCCTAGTACACTGGACACGACAAAGCGACAGTTGAAAATCATTTGAAATTTGTGTCAATACATCATGAATAGAACGCAGCAGCAGTTTTCTGTCGGGGATTTGTTGTGTCGGGCCGAGCCGCATCCAGTGTAGACCATAGATATGTATATATATCTATGGTGTAGACAGCATCACTAATTATAATGAGTTCTATAGTATTTTGTCGCGCCGCGCCACTC